GAATGTCTCATAAAAAGGCAAATACCATGCAGCCCATAAGACCCTCTACCCTATGTGTCCCTATGCCTTTCTTCAACATCTCCTTTCCTCCTTGTTCCCACTGCAACCTCCTTTTTTCGTGGAAATGTTTTAAAGTGGCCTTTCCACCACTCCGTATTTCATAATTGGTGGCCATCACCCCAAGTCCCTCTGTTTTGCTCTGGATATCATGAAGAATAGAGACACCAACCTCCAGACTTAGAAATGAAAAACAAATTGAACTAAAGATCCAGATGCAGATGCCCTTTTAAAATCTGTAAGAAACCCAAAAGAAATACAACTGAGAGAATAGGAAGGACTGGCCAAATAAATAGCTCAGCAGATTAAAGCACCTGCACACTGGTGCAGGGGCCGAGGGTTCGATCCCCAGGCCTGCTGTGCTGGCCCCACCCCTGGGGCGCACTGAGAGGGCAATTGAGACTGTGTGTGGTGGCACACACCTGCAATCCCAGCTCTTGGGAAGCTGTAAACAGGTGGATCACTACAAGTGTGATCTAGTAGGGAGACCCTGAACATCTAGGGCCTTCCCTAAAATATAAAATAATAATAATAAAAAGAATACAATATTGTATTAACTATAGTTACCGTACTGTAACAGAATTCATCCACACTAACTGACCTTAGCACTCTAGCCCAGCCATCGGTAACTGCATGCCACTCTCTGATTCTAAGTTCAACCAATTTAGTTCCACACATAGAAATCTGTCTTCTATGTCTTGTTTATACCTCTCAATATAATGTCCTCCAGGTTCATCCATGTTGTCACAAGTAACAGGCACTTCCTTTTAAAGGCTGAATAGTATTTTATCATACACATATGTAATCCTTTATCCACTCATCCCCTGATGTTTCATTCCATATCTGGGCAATCATGAATTTTCAAAGCTTTTTGATAGTGTAAAAAGCTTCAGAAACAGACACATGATGACAAGCCACCCTTCATTCATTTCTTGGCATAGGCTCCTGATGTGCCTGAGAAAAAACAGGTTCCCAAGCTAAGAGTCATGAGTCCCTGGGACCACCTCAGTAACTCCTAATCCTGATCCTTCAGAACTGATCTTCTCCACTGGGGCAGACACAAGCAAGCAGGTATTCAACCACCAAGGATCTTTACTCATACCAAATAATTCACATTCACATATCCATTGGTATCCCAGGATTACACTGAGATGTCCAAAGCCTAAGAACTAATTTGACTTGGCAAAGATTCTTCAAGACCCAACTTTCCAAAGTACCCTCTACTCTTGGAACACGGAGGAAGTGACTAATGACCTAAATGCACATTACATATAAATATATAGGTATCTATATAAGTGTATACATCTTCACTTGGATATAAATACATATGAATGAGGGATGAACCCTGGAAGAGAATGAGGGTATTGATAAAAAGGTAAGGATGATAAGGTGATGGTTAATGAAGATTCATTTGTAGGTCGCTGTCACCATTGAGCATAACATGTTTTCTTAAAAAGCAGCAGACTTAGAGTGCAGTATAATGCAGCTCTATTCTTGTAGCACTAATCTCATTTGGCTGTTGAAGACATATTATACCTTCCATCCAAATACCTACAAGAAGGAATGAGATGTCACTCCAGCAAACTGTGAACTAAACGATGACTAAAATAATACTAAAGCCAAAAAATAGGAAACTCTTTGCATTTATGATATGCTAGGATTCTAAAGCATGAAAAACACTAAATTGTTCAATGATTAAAATGACTAGGCAAGCCAGGTGTGGAGGCATATGCCTCTAATCCCGGCTATGCAGGAAGCTGAGGCAGAAGGACCACAAGTCCCAGGCCAGCGTGAGCAGTTCATGAGACTATGTCTCAAAATTTTAAGGGGTGGAAATGCACCTCATTGGCAAGTGAGAGGCAGTGGCTTCACTTCCTAATATGGAGTAAGAAACAGAGAAGAAAATAAAATAAAAGTAGGTGGAGGGGTATAAATAAAATCTCCCATTCTATAGAAAAAGAAATTGCTATCATTTAAATGAAGTTGCCCACAGGCCCTTAACTATTAAGAGAGAGGAGCTGATAATAGAGCCTGGTCAGGATAGCTCTGAGGTCTATAATCATCATGCCATGTGGCTGCTCAAAGACATCAGCCTTTTTATCTTTGTGTCCGCTCTGGTCATGTCCCTACCATCTTGAATACTTACTGAAGTCCAGGAATATTGCACTTAGTCTATGAGAGCCCAAAGCAGAACTCCCCTCCCCCCCCCCGCTTTCCTTTTCTCCTTGTCCAAAATGACGCTTGAAGTTTTAAAACACCTCCAGTTGTTAAGATGGGCAGGCCTTGTAAAGCCACAAAAAATGACAGGTGCTTTGTCATACTTAGTTGAGTGAATTACAGTCTTGATTTGATCATCTCCTACGGAGAGATGGGTATGAGGATGTTTATGGTGGCAGAAGGGGCTGGAGATGAAACAGACTAATAACCTAAGTAAAAATTAGTCCTCTTACACAGCAAAGACCCATTTCAAACAACACTTCTGTCCTTCTGCTCTGAATGACATCCTGTCACCAGCTGTCTCTTGTATGCAACTTTGAATGCTAGGTGTCATAAACTGATACTCTAAGCAAGTGTGGAAAAGTTCTTATCGCACTCAACTCTGTTTAGGCTATTTGAGTAAGCAATGGAGACTATATTATTACTGTAAACTACAAAAAACACACAATGTTCGTCTCTCCTTTCAATATCCTCTAAGGCAAAGTAGAAACAAACTTTAAAGGAATTCTCTGAATTAAAGTCCTAAGGCAAATTTCTAATTTCTCAAAAACCTAAATATATTATGGCCTATTTTTTTCTTAACCATTTTTATTTAGAGAAAGCAGAATGTGGTTTATGTTTTTATTTTGATGTGCAACAACTGCCCATTTTAAGAGAGAAAGCCTCTCCCAGCATTTTGTGATCTCTAAAAGACAGATGTGTTCCCCAAGTCCCACACTGCCTGGTGATCACATAGAGGACTTTCAATAAATGTCCACAGCTATGCAAGTGCACAGAATGTGCTGTAAGTCCAAATGCGATTTCCAGCCCAAAGGAAAGAGAGGAGAGAACAAGATTATGGAAAGCCTGTAAAATCATACCAAAATCTTTTGTTTGCCTATATGTGTGCATGTGTATGGCATGTGTAGAACTTACTCCAAATTTCAAATAAATATTTCACCCAAAAATTTATTTCAGTCACAGATAACTACTGAATAGAGAAATGGAAGCACAAGAAACAAACCAAAAAGAAAACCAGAGAAAAATGAAAGGAAAATCAAAACAATGGGAGAAAAGAAAGGAGAAGAAAGGATAAAGAAAGAGAAACAGCCCTCAAAATAATAACACAAAAATGATCTTTAAAAATCTTTGGTTATTGAAATTCACAATAGGAAACATTCCTACTCCCATTCCAGACAAATGGCTGAGGTTTACTCTGAAAGCAAATCAATACTTCACCAGACAATTTTCATGCTACATGCTACTATCATTTTCAGAATCACTGGAGTGTCATCTTCATAGTAATGAACGGCATAATATCCATTTTTCCTCCTGAGATTTATAAACATAATCTCAATTGCACAACTCCAATAAATCATTAGGTAAACTCCTAGAAGGGTAAATGATAGCACCTGTTTGTAACCAAGGTGAACAGTAGCCACTAGATAGTACACTAACTACACTTGGTTTTAGACAGCTCTATCAAACTCTTCATGTCTACCCAATAATTTCCCCACAATTCTACAAGTTACCATAAGCCTACAACTAATGACTAACAGCTTCACTATGATAATTTTCCCTTCTAACATGAGTTGATAAAAGCCTTACAGATCCTCAGAGAAACTCTTCCTAACACCACTAGACCGAAATAAGACTTAGATCATGTAGCCTCAACAGAGGGTACCTAACATTTAACTGTGTCACAATCCTGCAGCTTTCATTTCCCTTTCCCATTTGAATGTGTACTACCAGAAAGGGCAGCATTTACTCTACAAGCAAACAGCCTAGAACTAACTTCTTTATATGGTGAACTGAATTTTTTCTCCCTGTTTTCTTCCATTTGTTTTTAAGCAGCTGAAATTCAGGTCAGTAAGATATTGAATCTGGGAATAGCTCGTTAAATGTTTCCCTTCATTTTCTATAGTATGTTTGTCTTCACTTACTTAAAGACTTATCCCTCAGCGGTGCATGGCCAGATTAGTGTAATTCAGATGTCACTTCTTAGCAAGTTCACTCAAAAAAGGGGCTGATCCCCAGTGAAACCTGCACATGTACTAAGTTTGAAAGAGAAGGCTAGAATCCATCTGCAAAAGTCAAACGCTCAATACACACATCCTACTTACCCTACAACTTGTAAAATATTCATATCCATTACCAATCATTATTTTGCGTTGATCAAATGCACATCTTATTTATAATGCTGCAGCATGTATGAATTTCAAAGTTGATTCTGTCTCCTTGAAAATCATGATGAAAAACATGCTGATTGTTATCAATAATAAAGCCAATTGTGAACAACTCAGGCATTCTACAATTACTGAGAATTTAATTTAGTCTATTTCCAAAAACAATCTGAGTGGCTCCGTGACTGGCAGCTGACACTGTCAGAAATGCTCCTTTACAGTCCCTCCATGTCACTTTCACAGTGAATTTGACTTTGTGACCTTTGCCAAGTTCTGTCTGCTTATATAGAAAATGTTTTCACTGACTGTGACCATGCTTATGACCAAAACTACTCCAAATGTACTTATCTCAGTATTTGTCATTCCAATGTGGGCCTTTAGGGATTATTAATTGAAGGGTACAAGTGTCATCTGAAGCGTGAGGGACAAAGCCCAGTAACAATGCCACTAAAGCCAGAAACAAAAAGCAAAATACGCAAGTGATCCTCAGCTTATTGCAGCAGAAGAAATAAGCAATAACAATAAATACAAGCGTACTTTACAAACCACTAATCCAGTGCTTACTTTTAGCAGATCCTTGGAGAAATCAACACCTTCATTTACCCCTTGGAGATTTGCAATGAACTCTTGACAGGTCATCTTCTTTCCAATATTCTAGAACAGAGGCAAATAATACATCATCATGACATTTACAAAATTAAGATGAGTTCTGAAATATGTGATTAAGCAGGGCAATAATCGCTTTGGTTGCTGAAAACATGAATACAAATGTGTGCATATATACACACATTGTTTTAATGTATAAGAAAACATATGGCTTATTATGCCTTTCAAACTGTCATTATATATAAATAGCAAAATTATGCCAAACCTTTACTTTAACTTAGAAAAATAATCCAAAAAAACTATGTTACATTTATATAATACATAATGCAGTTTCAGTTTAAAGCCTGGATAAAAATGGATTTCTGAGTTGAACTCTGATAGTCATTTGTGTTTCCTATGTATTGTCAATGACTGAAGTATCTGAGATTTACTTTCCTTTCAAGTTAACAAGTTAAGTCTTCTGAGGATGCTCTCAGAGGGCTAAAGTATCCTGGGAAGAGACAGAAATACTTCTAATAATAGAAAAAGCCAGAATATCGGCATTATCTTTATCGAATTCCCCCAAGGCCTAATTCTCACAGCTACTTAAGTACGGCCAAATGTCACCAGCATTACAGGAAAGACATCCTAAGCTTCTGGAAGCACAAGCTTTGACGGTGGGCAGGAAGTGGGTCTGCTACTTCCTCCTAGGCTAAAGAAAGGCTCTCTCTGCCACGACACTCAGGAAACCTGACCACTGCTCTGAAGTCACTGGCGTCTTTCAAAACTGCTCAGATAGAAATAAGCTTTAAAAAGACAAAACATCAAGGTAACCAAAGCTTCCACTCATAAAGTGTACAAAAGTCAAGAGGCCGACAGAGAATTATTTCCTGAGATTACTCCAGCTGGTTTATGGATAATAAAGCTTAACCTAAGAAAATTACATTAGTACATAAAATATAATTAGAGAGGTAAAACTACAAAAAGCAAAGACATATAAATGTGACAACTAAAAAAAAAAAACCTAATGAAATTGCTACTGCAGAGAATCATCTGCTGTGCAGGTCCAATCAACAAGCAGAAGCTACAGCTGTGAAGGACTCGGAGGTCCAATCTGGAAACCAAAACCAAGAGCTCTGTCACGTGCAGGTCAGGGATGCCGAACAGTGACAGTGGCCTAGGCGCTGGCAAAAGCGGGTCCACACGCACAGAAAAGGTATGACATTAATATATCTGTACACAATATTCTTACAAAGAACATTTTCTAAGGCAATTTTCTTCATGCCTATATAACTAGAAGTGTCATCCTGCTGAAGACAAAGACGGGCAGCAGCATGTGCAATTACTACAGTTTTAAGGTAGCATACCGAACCTCAACTGCAAAAACACAGGACTGCCTGAGAGCGCACTCCCGGTGTCGTCTTAGGAATAATTGTTTCGCACTTTCCCTTTCACAGCTGCCTTTCTCCTACTTAACAAAACAACTCTTCCCACCCAGACTATCTAAATATTTATAGTGAAAGTGCTAAATATTCTATTTGTTAAAAATCATGCTTCTTCCATCCACAAGGAAGGTACAGATTTTATATCAAAGACTGGATGAATGGTTTGATACGGATGATTGGTTTCATCTATTAATTCTTTGGTAGATACTTCCCATAAATCACATCTGCAGTTCTAATATTCTGATTAATATTGATTTAAAGCCCCACATGGAATTTTAATGAAAAAATTATTGTTTTGCATCAGCAAATTGAAAAAGACAAAACCTCAATTTTCCCAATTCTTGTTGAGTGTACCCGTTGAAGTCAGGTACCTCAAGGTAAGAAGCAAAAAGTTTAATCACGTCATCTTGCTATGGCTTGGCAAGACCTCTTTGAACGTGTTCCAAGGATTTGAGAAAATGAATAATCACTTGGTAACAAATTCTTTTCCAATTCTTTGCTTTTAACAAAATTAAAAACAACCTAACCTAACCATCAGTTATTCATCAAAATATTTTTGAAATATAATCAGAAATTTAAATGCTTGTAACATTATCTAGTTTTCAATTCATTGTCAGTAATAATCATTAAACACAAACCATTCTAGCTGAAAATGTTTTAGCTCTTGAAATCTCATAAACAATAAAACTTACAATTTGTATCATTTTTTTACTACAAATAAGAATTGCATAAGCAAAAGATACTTCCAAGTATGCAAACATAACACACAAGAATAAATTTTTATGTAAAAGCAGACTGAATATATGAACACAAGGAGAAAAAGAAAGAAAATATTGATCTCCCTAATGAATCTAGGCAAAATAAACTGAAAATCTCTGGAAACTATTCACCACTCTACGTGCCACCAAGAACATTTGCAATTCATGGGAGGAGACTAAAATCTCAGCCTAAAGACATATTGGAAAAAGCTGAGTGCAGCCCTTAGGGAGGATTTTGAGGGGGTGAAACCTCCGGGGAGACTCCCAAGACTGCCAGCCCTGCCCCCTTTTCAAATGCCAATTGCAAAGTAGCAGGCAGTCACTCACACTTCTGGCTGACCAAGCATAAACAGGGATTCCCATGACCCCCTCCTGAGGTTTGATGAATTTTCAAGATGACTCATAGAACTCAAGGAGATCCCTCCATTTCTAAAGAATACTATAAAGAGAGCACATAACAATGAGATAAGAAAATAAAGGACATGGTCATAAAGAGTCCCCAGTGCAGAGGATTCTGTTTGTGAGAGTCAAAATACCTGCTGACAGGTACCTGTATTTTCCATCCCAGAATCTAGCAACCCTGTCCTGTGGGGTTTTACAAAGGTTTTGTTATATATTCATGACTGAAAAAATCACTGGTCATTGGCAGTAACTCAACCTGTAGACATTCCTCCCTTACCAGACTTGGGATATGACTGGTGGGGAGACTGAAATTCAACCCTCTACTCACATAGGTGATTCTCTTGGCAGCCAGCCCCCATTCTGAAGCTGTTCGGTAGTCAACAAAGATTTGCTCCTAAGATGTTTCTAGGGCCCAGGAAATCTGAAGGAATTTAGGAGCTGTGTATCAGAAAATGGGGTCAATGACCAAAAGATCCTTCTAGGGCTCTTATCTACAAAGGCGGAATTGCAAAAGTAAACTGCAAAGTTTCCTCTGTAGGATACCAGAGCAGAAACCAAAGTTATGCTTCTCCTTTTCTTGCAACATCCTAGAGTGCCTACACTGATTAAAATTAGTCTACCCTTTTCATGAGATGACCCTTTTATTATGATAAAATGTGCTATCTTGTAATAAAAAAATTTGTCTTAAAGATGTTTTGTTGCTGTAAGTATAGTGAATCTTGTACTCTTTCAGGTAGAAGTACAACTTCAATACCATTCAGTTAGGGATGCGCACGTGCATCTTTTTCTAATAGTTTACTTTCAACATTTTTTATCTCTAAATCTAAAGTGCACCTCATAAAGAAAACATAATGGGCTGTTTTTAATCTATTTTTATTACATGCTTAAGATCAACATCTGACCTTCTGCAAGGGTCACTTCTATTGGCTTCTGTCCTACTGTGGATGGGCCATACTTTGTGTTCTTTCCAAGTCTTATCACTTTTTTTGTTGTTGTTCTTGTTCAAAAACAGAGATTTTAAATATCGTGTGGCAATTCTGTAAATCAAATTCTTCCCCCTCCCTGTAGGCATTTGCCACTGATTTGGCTAGTGGCTTTTCCTGAACCAATTTCTGGCATTTAAAGAAATCCCTATCTAATCATTAGCAAGCTACTGAGCTCAGAGCAGAAACTGAAAGCACATAGGGCAAAAATACAGACTCTGCCAAGACGCTCTGGGTACTTGTCAGTGTACCTTCAAATACTCCAAGAAGTTTACCACTGTCTTAGCCTCAACTTCCTGCCTTGCCGTCAGCTACCTAAGGAGCTTACAGTCTCAGAGGTCCCTTTGGAAAGCACCCAAGGTTTTGTAGCGGCTCAGACTATGTCAGAGCTTACCACAGACCGTTTACATATCGTATTCCCCACTTTTTTCCCTTCATGGGAGTTTGGTCTGTTTTGTTTTTTTATTGTTTTTTTTTTTTTTTTTTTTTTTTTCTTTTCCGGAACTGGGGATTGAACTCATGTCCTTGCACTTGCCAGCCAAGTGCTTATTCTACTGAGCCATCTCCCCGGCCTGGTCTGTTTTTGTTGCTGCTGTTGTGTTGTTGCTTGTCATAACTCCTCACCACCTCAGGCAATGGTGCTATTCAACAACTGCCACTTGCCTCGGGGAGGAGGTCATCATACTGAGTGTAGAACTTCGTCAGAGAAAGGCAAGGGCCACAGTGACCTGCTAGACAACTGAATAATGACAGCTCCATAGAAACGGGGCCTTTGGAAACCTCCAACGGCTCCAGTAGATACCAGGCTTCTGCTCTTCACAGCTATTGTCACTTGTGAGGCTGTTGGTTTTCACAGTTACTTATGACAGAACTGGAGTGAGGGGGATAGTTACAGTGCAAGTTAAATCATTACAAGGCTTGCTGTTCTTACTAAGATTCAGTTGTTTTCAGCTTTCTCCTTAAGAAAGCTCATTAGATTACTGCAAGGCAATTGTCAATTTCCAAGGCTTTGAAAACGTTGATTTTGCCAGTGTTCTGTGTGTGTGTGTGTGTGTGTGTGTGTCTGTGTGAGTGTGTGAATTTTTAAATTCTCACTGCCACTTTGAAAATGCTTCTCCTTCATGATAATATTTAGAATTCAATGAAAGACTATTTTAGTATTAATATTTATTACACACATCAAAAATTTTCCTTTGTAATTACTTAAACTTATGATTTAAAAATTCAGATGGCATCTTTAAGTGAAAAGAGAAGACTGATTTTTTTCAAAAATTCTTTGGGAGAATCACAAAGATTTTTAAATATTACTGAGGCAAAAATATTTTCTCAGGGTACCATAAATGTCTATAAATGTAAATAAAACTTTCATTTAAATAAAAACTACTGCCATGTTCAGTAATATTTTAAAGTTTATGGAGTCATTTTATTTTATAAAATCATACTTCTTTCTACACTCAAGATTTATTTTAATTGCTCATTTC